GTCCCAGAGCCGCCACTAACTGACGTAGTTGACACCGCGCCTACCCAAGACAAGCCCCGGTGCATAACCTCTATTTTTCATTTTCATATCCACCGTGTGTGTGTGTGTGTATATATACATTGAAGGAATTTTATGGAAACGACATGCATATATATATATATATATATCTACCCTATGAGTCCTACTAGTGTAGGTTCGAGTAGCTGCTATGCTTAAGTTGTCGGTAGCGTGAGTAACCTGCCGTTACTCACAATAGGTGATTATTATTACTCTCATAATAAAACGATGAAAAGAAAATAGAGACCGGACAGGGATATGGTATGGGTATTAGTGAGTGTAACAAGTTGTGTCCCACGCTATAGGGTTTAGCTTACGCTGTTTTCCCTATCCGTGTCAATTGAGGACCGTCCATTGCCGTGGATGGTAGTCAGGTCACAGACTTATTATCTTGAGCACATACTTGCTTATGGGAGAGAGCAGGCTCGTTGCGCTCTTGTAGTAGGTTCTGGCTCTTTCCGGACCGACTGATTGGAAGCGGGGAAAGGTGGAGGTCTAAGCACCATACTGAGCCGGGTCTCAAGTGTGGGGGCTTGGAGTCCAAGTTTGGACGGAGACCTAGACCCCTCGACAAGAGTGGAATAGGTTGGTCTCATTTGTGCCTAGGGTGCAAACGGGGCATGTCTGGCTTTGACTAGGGTGGCGGTTGGATCTCGGTGCAGCTGATCGGCGAATCGTGCTCGTAGAGCACGAAGATCTCTGATCCTCTCGAATCTCATTAACCTGACAGTGTGCCGCTTTAAGCATGGCGGCGACCTTGGCGAGCTCGGGTGTCTGTGGGAGGCGGGCAAGCTCGTTGGCGGCCACTGCCAGATTGGCGCTTGGAGTCTTGAAGACGTCATGGCCGTCAACGCGGAGAAATTCTTCGTCGAGGTCGTGGTGGAGCGGGAGTGGCCTTCCTTGTGAATCGAGCCGATTATTCCGAGCAGCCTCGGCCCTCGCAATGGCTGCCTCATTTTCTCGGCGCTGCGCGCGGTTGACGTTCCGGTTCTCCCGAGCAACGCGCTCCTCGGTTTCGCCATTTCGACGAGGGCTATCGACGCTGACGTTGAAAATCACACCACCCCGGAAGGGTGGGAGAAGGAGTTGCTCGGAGAAGGTTTTGGCGAGGGTCTCCGTAGAGCCCTGAGACTCGGAGCCTGGATTTTCCTTCGGGATGGTCTAGAGGGACACTCCGGGGCACCGGCTTAAGTGTAGCATGTTGACGGCTGGCGGAGGCTGGACGGCGATCTGGTCGGTGAGTGGATGGGCGCATCCCACCAGGTCAGCGAATTCACCCCTCAGGGCATCTTGGTATGTGGCGGCGACGTTGGTGAGCCCGAAAGGCAGCGCCGCAACTCCTAGAGTTTTCCGAGCAGCCTCCGGTAGATTCGGATCGGAGGGTGGTCGGCGCTGAACCAGAGCGTCCAGAGCTGATTCGGCGATGGAGAGACAATCGATGAGTTTTAGACCGACCCGATCGATGGAGTCGATCAGATCATCATTGTTGATCTGCCTCCTCTGGTAGCGAGGAAGCGGGCGGCGGATGGCTGATGAAGGCGACCTCGGAGGTGATTCCGAGATCGGATCTGCAGATGCATGTGCGGGGGTGATCGGTGCAGAATCAATCTGTGCCGGCTCGAGGAGCTCTCCGACTCCGTCAGCGTTGATGATCCAGGAGATCGATCCGACCGTGAAGATCTGGCCGGGCTGCGGGAGGGACGAAGAGCCTGCGGAAAAAGCCATCTTGTTTGATAAGGAAACAGCACACAAGCCCTTACCTAGCGCGCCAACTGTCGACAGAATATCGTCGGCAGTCCTCCGAGGGGTATCCCACGAAGGTAGATTGATCAGCAGAGGAGCGTGAGATCAAGAACAAGAAGGCAACAGAGACACGAGTTAGATAGGTTCAGGCCATCAGTATGACGTAATACTCTACTCATATGGTCTGTTGGTTTGTATTAGCTATCGTATGATACTGCGTGAGTTTGGAGGGGGTCCCTACCCACCTTATATAGTCCGGGGAACAAGGTTACAAGTCGGTTAGATCTGAGAGATAACTGGAAAGTAATAACTGATTACAGGAATCTTGGGATCATACATATCCTAACAGATCTCGTAGTATCTTCAGGATATCTTCCGGACGTCTTGCGGGAGGCGTCGAGCAGAGTCGTGCCCCGCAAGGCTTAGTCTTGTGGGCTGGGCCGCCCCTGGGCGTTCAGCCCATGTGTTCTGCCATGGGTATCCGGGGTCGTACCCCCCACACTCCGGTATCTGACTTGGCTGCTTGGTTGCATGAGCGGGAACTGATGACTGATATCATTAAGCAACATCTGAATAGGGCCAAACAGAGGATGAAGAAGCAGGCAAATTCTAATCGCTCTGAGCGTGCTTTCTAGTTGAATGAATGGGTGTTCCTCAAGCTGCAACCCTATGTTCAGTCGTCAGTAGCAGATCGGGCTCATCAGAAGTTGGCGTACAAGTTCTTTGGCCCCTTTCGCATTGTGGAGCGCATTGGTTCTGTTGCCTACAGGTTGGAGCTCCCGGCTTCTTCTTCCATTCACCCTATCTTTCATGTATCGCAGCTCAAGAAGTTGGTGGGTGCTCACCATTCCGTCTCGGACACCTTGCCTCCGTCGATGGTTCGCTGGAGTGTCCTTGAGAAGATCCTTCAACGCCGTACTATCATGAAGGGCTCCACTCCGGTTCATCAAGGTCTGGTATAGTGGTCCAATTTACCAACTTCTGTATCTACTTGGGAAGACTTGGAGTACCTGCATCAGCAATTCCCTCACGCCTCTGTCTAGGGTCATCCAGGCGCGCAAGAGGGAGGGGATGTTAGGACTGCTACCTCTACGTCGGCTGTCCCTGGGACCGTGCCGGACGAGCTACAGGAGGGCCAGCTACTGCATCCTGGTGGAGAAAGAGTCACGCAGGGCAAGGCCAGAAGCAGCCGGGTGTTTGGGCCTGATTGGGTCAACGTGTGAAGCCCAGCTAGAGATGTGTGTGTGCGTGAGTCATTTGTTATAAATAGGATAGCACCTGCTTGGAGGAGGGGTATGAACTATCTGTAATGAACCTTACCTGAATCGCATGAGAACTCGTCTGTCCTCGCCCCTTGCTATGCTTTCCCTGTCCTTTTCCGATTCCTCCCTTCCCCTTCCTAGTGCTGCTGCTAACATTTTCATGCCTCTTTTTGTTTCCTCCATGGTACTGCACTGCACCTGTAATTTTCAGAAATACTGTGTGCTTGGTTTTGTGGCTGCACACTTGCGCATTGGAGCTGCAAGTGTGGCAAATTATCTTCGCGGGGCTTTGGTGTGCTAGAAGAGAGACGATATTTTAGATGTTTCCGGCGATTGTAGTCATACTTGCAAATAATTTATTAGCTAGCTAAAATCCGTCTTCACAAAGTTTCAGAACGTGCCCTATTGGCTGTTGCCTGCACGGTTGAACCACGGAGAAATGTCGCGTGCAGAGTTGCAGGCACCTGTACGTGATCAGGACGATTTAACCGATGCCGACGCCGAAGACACCGAGGAATGGTCAAATCTGAAAAGGCACCACGCACCTATACATGGCCAACCGGACCGCACGTCACGGCCAAACATGGCATTGGCACTATACGACACGGCAGCTTAGCCATGCCGTGCCTGTTAATGCCACCGTGCCAAGGTCGTGGCCCAGGCACGGCAAGGTTAGCCGTGCTCCTAGGCACGGCAGCCCGTGCGTGCCCGTGCCGGCCCGCAGCTGAGCCCCGCCCTCGAGGCCGTCGCGCCGCCGCCGCGTCTTGTGCTCGTGGCCGCCGCGCCGCCACCACAGCAGCCGTGTTTTGCGTGAGGACGTCGCGACCGCTGTAGCAGTGCCTCCGGCGAACGCCGCCGCGCCGCCACAACGCCTTGCCACGCCGTCGCGCAATCGTCGTAGCCACATCTGGAGGGGAGAAGATGTAGGGAGCAGGGGGGGAGAGTGGCCTGGGACCTGAGGCCGCTGGCCTAGCGAAGTAGCGAGTTAGAGGCGGAGAGGGTTCAGTTGGACTCGGAGAAGGAGCGAGCGAGACAGAAATTGCGGCGGGGAGGGAGGAAAATGAGAGAATGAGGATGAAGGTAGCTTTTATGCCTAGGTTTTCTATCGAGAGATACATCTAATGGTCAGAAATGCTTGAAGTTGATCCAACGACTGACAACAACCGGGACGTCATCGTGCTCGCCTGTTAGTCGTGCCGTGCCTGGGCCGACACTACGGGCCGATATGGCGGCCCAGGCACGGCACTACGATTAGGCCGTGCGAGGCACAAACACGAAGGGGGCCGGGCCGTGCCATGTCTAGGCCGTGCTTTTCAGTGCCGTGCCCGGATTGGCCCAGCGGGCCTGCCCAGCTGGCCAAGTATACACGCACCACTTGCACCTGCCCTGCCTACGAGTATTCCAATAGCTAGCTGCACCCAGCTGTCTGGAGCTTGACGACCGAATCCCTTCCCCCTTCCGGTTGCCGCGACGCGACAGGCAGGTGCCTTCCAGCCAGTGCGCACTCGCACGCCACGACGCGGCACCCAAGTCCTCGGGCCACTGCCCGCCGGGGCCCCTGCCTTTGGTGCCTGGTCCGCGCTGCGTGCGCCGTGCTCGACCCGACCACGACAGCGTCCACTTCGCGCCCGCGACCAGCCAATCCGCCGAGGCCAGGCCAGGCCGGCGAAAGGGTCAGAAAAATCCGGGAAACGCGACTGGTCGGGCCGGGCTCGGCTGGTTGTGGTGGTCAAAACCACGATCGAGTCGTCGAGCACGCGCGAAAGCTGTAAAGCTTCTTCCCCTGCGGCTTCTTCGGTTCCAGCTCGGCTCACGGCCGCGGCGTGAGCGTGTGCGTGTGCGTGTGGCATACATATATAAAGAGGAAACGGCGACTAGGAGAACGGGGACGGGAGCAGCGCAGCAGCGGCGGCGGGGCCTAGTACGTCGAGCTTTGCCATGGCGTCGATGATGCTGAGTTCTCGCGCGGCATCGGCGTCGGCGCCGGCCGGAGCAGAACATCGCCGTCAGCACGTCACCGTGGCGTGCGGTGGGCTGCCGCGGCCCATCAGGCCCGTGCCGGGCACGGCAGGCCCACGGCCTGGAACGCCGAGGCTGGTGGGTCCGTCGCCGTCGGGGCGAGCGGGGCCGGAGTGCAACTGGTGGGGCGCTGGCGCGCGGCAGCAGGTGACGGCCGCGGTGGCGCCGAGGCGACCGAGGAGCAGCAGGGGCGCATCATGCGCGCGCGTGCCCACGGGGAAGGGGAACCGGGAGCTGGTGAGGCGGGCGCTCGCGCCGCCCGCCGCGCGCGGCCGGGGACGCAGCAGAGCCGTCCTGATGAGGAGGTGGAGCTTCCGGCCCGCGCCCAGCCGGCTGCGCAACACGTCGGCGTCGTCACTCTCCTCGCCGTCCCCTGCCTCGCCGCGGCCACGTCCGTCGTGATCGATCGTCGCGACCGAATTCTTTGATTCGTCGTTAGTGGAAAAGAAAAACCTTTGATCTGTACAGCACTTCGTAATTTTTTTAAACACAGTTCACAATTTTGACCAGCTGTATATGTTCTCCGAATGTTTAGTGGAATGGTCGAAGGTACCTAGCAATCGTTTTATGCAAATGATTCGATTCGGATCATAAGACCCACGTTGCTATTGTGATCTGAACCTCATAGTGACATGATTAGTATTAGTAATCCAAATGTCCATTTTAAAAGTTTAGAAACCTAGTATTTTACTCATTAAAACTTATAATATTGTCAGATCAGTATAGACCTGGATCGTCCTTATTGCTTTTACACATCTTCAAACAATTGATTGTTCGATAATCGTCCTGTTTGTTTGAGCTGATTTGGCTTATAAGCCATGGCATTTTTGGAAATATTATTTGCTTATAAGTCAAATATTTGGTCATCTACTTGGTTTGGTGTGAGAAAAAATATTTATTGGTTCAAAATCCGTCCATCCATATTCGTTCTCAAAGAATAATAATTCCCAAATCAACCTCGAGCCATGCCTCTCTACTTCCTATAAGCCGCCCGCGCTCGGCCTTGGCTGCAAGTGCTCATTGCGCTTGGTCCGGCGGAAGGACAACATGTGAATGCTGGCCCACAGTGCATCGTGTTCATGCTCCGCGTGGTCCCGGATGCGGCTCATTTGCCACTCCCATGAGCTCATCCATTCATCTGCTCTCTCTCTCTCTCTCTCTCTCTCAAAGAATAATACGCACGCACATGGGTTTATGTCCAGAAATTTCCCAAATCAACCTCGAGCCAGCCCATCTGCATGTCTGCCTCTCTCCACTTCCTCTTCCTCTTCCTCTCCCTCCTCCAGCTCCATTGCTCCTCTCCGCTCGGCCTTGGCGTGCAGTGTGCATTTTATCTATTTTGCGGCTTGGTCTAGCGGAAGGACAACATGTCGGCCTCGGCGTCGTCGCCACCGGTGGGCGAGAAGTAGGAGGCGGCGCCCGTCAGGCATTGCAATGGTGTCAACCACCTCGACAAGTTCATGCTCCGCGAGGTCCGGGGCAACACGGCAGAGGTACCCATTTGCCACTCCCATGAGCCACCAAGCATGTTCTGCCTGCCAGATTCCAACGTAGATCCGCGACGCTTGCCATGGTGCTGTTCGAAGCCCGATTTCTCGGTTGTTGCCCCGGCCTTCCCCTCCCCTATGTTGCATATGTATGTCTCTAATGTTTCAAACATTTCAGATGTATGTTGCAGTTGTTTCATCTTGATGTTGCAAAAGTAGATCGGGGGATGTTGCACATATTGCATATGTTGCAAGTGTTTCAGAAGCATGTTGTAAGCATTTGTTCAAAATATTTCATCTGTTTTCATACGTCTGTTGCAATCATTTTTTTATCTGGATGTTGCATATGTTTCACACATATGTTACAACACTATATTACAAATATTGTAGTTGTTTCAGTCTTATGCTGCAGCAAGTGGTTTCATGTTACAAATTGTAATTTTAGATGTTTCATGTGTTTCACACATGCTGCAAGTTGCAATTTTGGATGTTTCATGTGTTTCACACACATGCTGCAAGTGCATTTTATCTATTTTCAGACGTAAATGTTTTTCATATTGCAAGTGTTTTATGTTGTTCGGCCTAGGGCGAACTAAGGACGAGCCAGACACAAGTCTGGGCGTGTGTGTGTGCAAGCAACACCGGGCCAAGAACACGCTGGATGGTGGTGCTACTTGTAGTCGGGGAACACTACCAAGGCGTGTTTCATGTCCTCAACTCATTTGCTATTCATTCCTTGCTCTGTAGTACCACACGTAGCGAGAGAGAGGGGAAAATTGGAACTCAATTGCTTCATGTAGGCGACGGTGAGCTGGTTTAGTGTTCGTAACACCATTGCAATAGAATAGGATGGCAGTCGTGATGGAAGCATTGCACAACAACGGCACATAGGGCGGGGTGAAGGCTGACAAGATCGGGTCGAAGAAGGACGGAGGCAGGCTGCGCGGGCGTCCGGACGTCATGGCGCTAGCCACGACCTTTGTTCCATAATGTTCTTGAAAAAGCATCATTCCTTGAAACGAAAACTTCAATGACACCCTCAGTCTCCATTCTAAATCATACCACGATGCCTTCTTCGACAGGAACCTGACGGACCAAGACGTCGAGGCCATGGACGAACTCTTCCCGGCAACGAAAACGAGAGCCGGTCGAATGAGTCGCCGGCCTCTCGCCGCGGCGGCCTAAGTGTAGGCCACTGACTCAACTGGTTGTCCCTAATCCATGGATAACACAATCATCTCGTCTTGGAATGTGCGCGGTCTCAACGCGCGAGCGCGGCGGGACACGGTCCGCACGCTAGTCGACGACATTAGGCCTTCCATTGTGTGCCTACAAGAAACCAAGCTCGATGTAATCCCCCAGACAATCGTGTTCTCTATGTTGGGCACTGCGTTCTCGCAGTTCGTGTACTTACCGGCGTCCGACACTCGTGGCGGCATCCTCATCGTAGGGCGCCAACCTGATGTACACTTCTCTGAAGTTCTAGTCGGCTGCTACTCGATCACTGTCTCGGTCGAACTTCCCAGTATTGCAGCAGATGGACCGAATAGATGGTGGCTAACCTCCGTGTATGGGCCACAGGAAGACGCTGACAAGGTCCTCTTCCTTGAGGAGCTCGAAGCCATCAGAGATGAATGCCAGGGACCATGGGCGATAAATGGGGACTTCAACTTAATCTTGAATGAAGCTGACAAGAGCAACGAGCACATCGACAGAGCCAACTTGCGCAGGTTCAGAAGAATGGTGGCAGCACTGGAGCTGCAAGACCTCCACAGCAACGAACGAGAACATCCGACGCTGGCCCGCCTAGACAGAGTCCTAGTCTCCATTGATTGGGACAGCTTGTTCCCCAATGCGCACCTACGCGGGTTGAGTTCTGATGCATCGGACCATTGCGCCTTACTGTTGCAAACGAACATGGGCCAAATGAGCAAGGCCCGGTTCCATTTCGAGCTCTTCTGGCCCAAGTTCGATGACTACATTGATGTCGAGTCCTGGAAGCGACCTGCAAACGTACATGACCCGATGGTGTGCCTCGACCTGATGCTGCGAAGCCTGGTCCGTCATTTGCAGAGATGGTCGGCGGCAAGAATTGGCGAGATCAAAGCACAGCTCCTCATGGCCAGAGAGCTGGTACTACGGCTGGATTCTGCCCAGGAACGGCGCCAACTCTCTGAGGCGGAGAACGGGCTCAAGAAACGACTCAAGATGAGATGCCTAGGGTTATCGTCTTCTAGTTTATTTATATTCAGAATAGTAAACCTGTGAACTCACAAAGAGCACATGTACTCCCTGCGTTCCAAATTATGTCATTTTATTACTTTTGTGCTAAAGTCATATTTGTCCAGTTTTGATCCAGTTTTTAGACTATTTTATAAAAAAAAATGCCATATCAAGATATATTTGATGAAAAGAATAATAAAACTAATTAGAAGCTGTAGAAGTTGATGTGTTTTCCTAACTTAACCAAAGTTTTAAAAAAAGGTTGAATTAATAATACAGCTGAAGTGGCACTGTAGTTTAGAACAGAGGGAACAGGTTGTAGCGTCCTATGATAGGTACAGGCATACAGCCACTTATTGAAGCACAACCCTACAAAGAATTGGTGCGAAAGCAAGACATTGGCAATACTGATCCATATGCCGTACTCATAATGTTTACAATACTGGTTTCCAACCTGCTAATGTTCACAGGAATCATAATGGAAGTGGCCTCCAAAATTGAACAAAACAAAATAAAACTAGAGCGGCCTAAGACTTTGGATCTGCAGTAACGCAAAGACAGGACTACCAACAAACTCATATTCTCTTTGGCACTCACGAGTTCAGCTCACGTCTGAGTATGACACTTTAGAGCGGGCAGGGTGGTACGTCAAGTGTTGTACCAGCTTGGATCTGGCCCCATCCAATGAGGCGCCAATGCTTCTCAACGCGACGGCTCAGAGCAACCTTCTCTCCTCGGCTCGTGCAGACAGGTGCGGTGAGCTGTAGCTTGGCAAGATCATTCTTAACAGCGAGCACACGTGCGCCTGTGGACATGGACCCTATGTTAAGCATGAGGATCTCGCCCTTGGTGAGCTTCGACACCTTCCCTGCCTTCTCTGTACCTTTCGTCCTCACACCCAACAGCCTCCGGAGTAGGAAGAAATTGATCTGCAAAGCAAATGTTCAATGACATAATTAAGTTTAGCAACTATTTTGTCCATCTAAAATCATGAAGGAGCAAAGATTTTACAAACCTCAAGCTCTACATAAACATCAGGTAGTGAACCAACTTCACCAAGAACCTGGCCAACCAGCCTATCAGCACGCGTTAGAGTTGGGTCCATGGTTGTTCCCACACCAATAAGCCCTCCTGGGACAGCAAATTGGAGTTCATTCTGCTCAGCATAGAGTGAAACAATCCTTGAGTAGATTGGGGTGCACTTAATGTTTCCAGTCTCATCTTTCATGACAATGCCAGGACGAACTTCAATCTTCTGGTTCACCCTCAGAACTCCCTGTAAAAAAAACCATTGCTATTTTGTTCATATTAACACAATGGAAAACAGAATGGTAGCACCATGACTAAAAGGTACATACCCTGAGGATACTACCACCAGCTACACCACCCCTAATTTCATCAACCTCTGAACCAGGCTTGTTAACATCAAAGGAGCGAATAACAATCATGTTGGGAGGCGAGGTAAAGTTCCTTTCAGGGATGGGGATTTTCTTCACAATGTATTCACAGATAACATCAATGTTGTATTTCAGCTGGGCAGATATAGGCACCACAGGCGCACCTTCAGCTATTGTCCCCTGGTCAAATGAGCAAAAAAAGGATCAGACCATGAAAGAGAAGACACTGTAACAGGAGAGATGGTGATAAGTATTGGATGGTGCCGTGAAGGCACACTGAGTATTGACCTGGATG